TTTTGTATCAACATGAAGTTGTCCAGCATGGCGTTATGGTCAGTGCTTGTCAGCGATGCTCAACAGGAACCGGTCATCCTCGGAAGCAGGCCAAGCATTAGCAAGCAGGTCGTGCGTCATTCCGGAAGTGCCAGGGCTTTCCATTCGTCGACACCGTCGACCGGCTCCAACACCAACAATTCCGGGGGCGCCGTTTCGGCGTCCAACTCTGGCCTGGGGTCCAGCTCTGGTTCAACGTCCCGCAATGAACACGTCGTGGTGCTGAATGACCTGGTAATTATCCAATGGTTTTTTTTTACTCATTCTACAGTTGTACTTTTTAATTTTTGCGCTGCTGCAAATTGATTTTTTGCACTCGTCGGGGATGCTGATTCTCCTGCCGAAAAAAAAATAAATATCGCATTCAGTATATCATCCTGTCACGTTACAGTGAAAATAGCGTATCTGAGAAGTTAGAAACTGGGATTGGCCAAAATTTGGAGAGTTACGAATGCAACAATGAAAATTAGGCCCGGAGATTTCCAATGAATGCATCCGTGGTTAAATTTGTCTATGTACTGCACAAATCACAAATACTGTAAAAAGAAAAGTTGGGCGTGCAACTTTCATATACTCAACCAATGATTTAAAAATTCTAAAAATTTTCAAATGAATCGAAATTCGAGATATTGAAAATTTCACCAGCCAGCAGATACGTATTTTGAAAGCATTTTGGCACTCAGTTGAATGCTTAATTTCGCATTCTTTGTGCCTTGCATTTTTTTTTTCAATTTGCGTCAAGGGCATTCTATGAATATAGACTATAAGTTTACTTCCTCTGAAATTAATCGGAAACTTGACTTATACACAGTTGCCCTTTATTCAAATTCTGCATTCAAGATGAAAAAAAAAACGAAAATACAGTATCTTCCGTTTCTTGAAATTTTCCTATAAATTATCAATTAAAAATAGAGATGTAAACCTTTTCAGGTTGGTTAGAAAAATGTTTTTCTGCGTGCTTTTGAAACTGGATTCCCGTTAGACTTCATGGAATGCAACTGATACACTGTCGGATAACTCAGTTGGAGAATGAAAAAAGTATAACACCAGAAGCGCATGAGTTATTCGGTATATGTTGCTGATGAGCATCTTGTGCAGTCATGGTTGTTCCTCATTAGGAAAGTAGACCAAGCAAATGAACACATTCTTCATCAGGATTCCGGACAAGCACATTTTCTTCCTTGTAAATAAATATTGTAGAGCCTTATTTGTCTTGTTTTGAAATTATTGTTAATATACGAACCCTAGGATCTTTGGAATTTGAACACCAGGGAATAACTTCATCAGGGAATAACTTCAATACACATACGGTATGGAATGCATGCAAAAGAGCTATTCCTTGCTTTAATTTTCAATCATTAAACTTGAGAATGATCAGTTTAATGTGAAATGAAATCTGAAGGAACATCTTTTATTTTAAAAATTGGTAGACTTTTTTGTAAAATTGTCTTCATTGACAAATAAGCTGCAGCAGTTTCAAGCTACACTTCATTTGTCATTCTTGTATTTTCAAATTTTAAAATGAAAATTGAAGGTGAAATGAAATCTGAAGGATCATTTTTTCTNTCCAGAAGATCTATTGAACAATTTAAAATTGAAGAAATGATTCACTGTAGGAGCACAAACACTGCTACCATCACACAATGGAAACACCTAATTTTGTGCACTAATTCAGCAAACAGCTCATAACAAAATAATAATTGGAGTCATTGAAAGCAAGAGCAAAAAATAATGACATTGTTTTCACTTTTTAGGTTGATTTTGTGAGATTTAAAAGTTATGAGAGGGGGAGAAAAAACCTTCATTGGGTTTTCCCCTCTCTGAAGAGCATTTTCTCCACCACATAAGAAACAACCACAATATTTGTGAGTTGGAATTAGTATATTTTAACATCTGCAGTGTTAACTGAGGATCCTACAGGGGTCTGGGGGAACTTTATTATGGTTGTGTAAGGTGTCTGTGGCACCAACTTTTAGCAGGTTTTCCTTGGCATGGAAAAAAATTAGGGTGCAGTGAAACGGTTGCGGAGGTACCCGGTTCAATCCCACCCCTTGGCACATTTTTTTTTTAGAAAACGTTTCCTATTTTGATTTGAACTTCCTCCAGCCAAAAAAAATTCCAAATTTGTAGAAATGGATTGTGCATCCAAGAAAAATTTTAAAATTGAAATTTCTCCAAAAATATTATGAGTTAAACTTGAAAGTCCAAAAAATTTTTGTTTTCCAACCTTCTCAATATAAAAATTGATTTGATTTCTGCTCAACAATACTCTACCTTTTTTATAGGGTGGATGCGCAATGAAGTTCTGCACATTTCCCCATTTCCAACTTTGAAAAATTCCAAAAATTGACTGAGATATAAAAAAATGCAGACCTTTTTCAAAAAATTGAGTGAAAAATGGGAAAAGTTCCTTTTTAGATCTCAATTTTTAACTGATCAAATTGAAAACCCCATGTCATTTCAAATACAGCTGCACACAATTTTTCAATTCAGCAAAAAAAAATCAATTTTTAAGTTCTTCCAGCCAAAAAAATTCCAAATTTCCAGAATTTCACTCAGTATGTAATGATGATTTCAAATGTATGTTATGTATGTATGAATGTATGTATATTTTGCTACATTGGGGCACTAACATAGAAAAACAGTGCAATGTTATGTCTATAATGTGATACAGCAATTCTTTTTTCAAATATAATATATAAAAATTTGAATTCCCAAGTTCAATTAGGGTGCAATTAGTAGTAGAGCGTCCACTGCGGACACTCTACTACTAGTTAAATCATGGGTTAGTCAAGAACCACACTGCATGACTGAACATACTTTTTCCCCCTTTTCAAAAAGGATGTCTCAAGACAGGGCACAGGCCAGCTGAAACCCCCCTACACCATCTTGTACCAAGATGGCCTCAAGGTGACTGTCCTGGATGCACCAGGACTCCACAACAAAGATCCCATATCAGACTCCCACAGCATCAGTTCACCAGCATTCAACAACATCCCTGCATGGCAACAGGATCAATATTTTCCTTTTGGAACATCCATAACCAACCCATTTGGGCAAAGTTTGCCTTACTGGCACCTGCAACAGCAGCAACAACAACGACTGTACAACCCTAATAACCCGTTATTGAACCCAGGATTTGGCAACCTGGCTCAGCATCAGCAACCCCTGATGATGACCTTTCCCAATGGACTAATGGGAGGTTTCGGACAACAACATGGGCCTTTAATGGTACCTGCAACTGCAAATAATTACCCGCTGAATCCCTACAGTCAGTTTCTCCAAAATCCGTTTGGGGTCGCTCCTGGTCAAGCCGCATTGCTGGGATCCAATGTTGGTGCTGGCAGCAGTGGAGGTTTTCTTGCTGATGTTCAAGACCTTGGAGAACATTTGACGATCGTTCCTTCTTCAAGTGTGAGTCACTTTCCATGGAATAATCCGAAAATTTTAATTTCAGTCCCTGATATCAATTTACGAACAGTATCATAAAAATATGCCCAAATTTTGTTATCGTCAAATGTTGCGTGCTTTTGTAGAAAGCATTTTCACATAAAGTTGAGTGCACCTCTGTTCTATATATTCTTTCGTCGAAAAAAAAAAAATAAAGCTTGCCATTCATGGTCGAAAATTGCGGATATCGCAAAAAATATTATTTCTCATTGCTTCAAAATATTCGGGTACATTTTACATACGAGGGGTTATACACGGTTCCGCACGGATTCGCTTGTTGCCACTGTTCAAAATTTAACAATTGCACATTTCAAGGCCCATTTTCAACACATGAATCAAAATGGCTGAGAATTGCATACAAATACATTGATAAGGTGTCTGCCTGGCCTCTTGGAACTAGTGAAGATGAGAAAAATGTTTTTGAAAAATCCCTGGCATTCAGATCATTTCAAGTCCGCCTCGAAACGAGTCCGCGCGGGAACGTGTAACCTCTATAGGTAGGGTTTCGCCACCAAATACTTGATGAATCTTTTGATATATTCCTTGAAATTTCGAATGATGGATTTACTTTTCATTGATGACGCTCTCTGACTGATTTTTTTCCATCCACAGGGAGTCGGTTTGAAAGAATTACAAACACAAAACAATTACAAGAAGCAGCCGCATTTGCGATTGAACCCGTGGAGTCCTTTG